GACAGGATTTCTCTGTGTACTCCTGGCTGTCCTGAAACTCACTTTGTAGACCAGGTTGGCCTCAAACTCACAGAGATCCACCTGCCTCTGTCTCCTGAGTACTGGGATTAAAGGCCTGCGCCACCACCACTCGGCTCTACATTTGTTTTTATTTATGTGAATGAGTGTGCCTGTGTGTGCGCACGATGTGTGTGTGTGTGTGTGTGTGTGTGTGTGTGTGTGTGTGTGTGTGTGTGTGACCTGTGCATACACCAGTAGAGGCCACAAGAGGGCATCAGATCCCTTGGAGCTGGGGGTCACAGGCAGAAAGCACTAACTGGATGCAGCTGCTAGGAACTGAACTTGGGACCTCTGGAGGAGTAGCCTGAGCTCTTAACCTGCTGAGCCATTTCTCTAGTCCCTCAAATGTGTTATTAACAAGAAGGTAAGTTGAACCTGAAGGCACAAAAGTGACAGCCCCAAAAGACAGTTCTTATAACCTTCCGCCTGGCAGGGAGCAAACGGGAAAACAATTGCGAAAATAAATTAAAAATATTTAAGTAAACATCCAGATATTTAAGCAGGAATAAAATTAAATTCTTAAGCAGAGCCCCTTGGAAATACTCCGACATGGACAACAGAAGTTCATTATTCACGGGAATCCAGCACAGAACAGATGCTTCTCTGGCAAGGAGAAAGCGATTTCTCACTTCCCCTGGTAACTATCTTTAGTACTTACACTCTTAGAGACCAGGAATGCGCATATGGATTTGTTATGAGGCAACACGCAATTATGTAATGTCAGCTGTGGGGGCAGGGGAGCCTATGAAATCAGTGCAAATGACATCCTCAGGCATGTCAGGATCAATATAGGCATTGAGGCCTGGTGACAAAGGCCTTATGATCCTCTGGGATTTTTAAGATCTAGGCATTCCCAACTATGACCAGTGAGCTATTTACATCTCCGTATAGAAAGGAATCAATAGAAAACTGAAAATGGCCTAATTTGGGATGGGGAGGGCATCCACAATGGAAATTATCTGACATTAACAGCCTTGTGATGGGGGCAATTTCAGGATGATGATGGGGGGTGTTGATCTCGGTTTCCTTCTAAACACAGGCAAGGATTAAATCAGGATACAAGGAGCGAGAATCACACAAGTGCAGACCGCAACCAAGTTCAAGCAAACCTCAGGGTCTTGTTGGTTATACTTCTGTGAACGAGGCATTACTAGGAGGACATTTCTCTCAATGGACAAAGTCAACCCTGTCCTTGATTTAGGTGGCATGGATCAGGGCAGTACATGGTGGGCTTGATAATACTAAAGGCTCCGGTATGGACGGCTGAGTCCTTGTTTTCTCTCTCAACTTGAGTTTGACTTGCATTCATCTTGAGTTACCGTATTTATTCTCTATGATTCGCATTGGGTTCAAGATATACAGGTCCTAGTCTTGCGGATTTGGGATAAGAGAGTCAGAGTCATATTCAAAACCATGAACATGAATCTCTGATGACCTCACAGTCTCATGATCCAAGGCTGGCGAGCCTGAGACACATTTATTATTATAAAGGGCACCTTTGGGTCTATCAGCAATCCAGGCAGAGGTTACTTACTTCTGACAAGCTACCGTTTATCGTTTAGACCCAATGCAAAGTCAAGACTCAATCTGTAGCAAGACCTCAAAGCTTGCTCCTAGAGGAGTAGGGAGGATGAATGCTAGCTCAAGCTTTGCTTGACTGAGCTGGACACTGGGCTCGGCACTCCCTGCAGAGGCCAAGAGCACAGCAGGTCTGCCCGGCTCTACGAGCCTGCCGAGTCCAGGGAGGCCGAAAGAGGTACAGTTATTTCTCATACTCTAGGATAACTGCTTAGGGCTGATGTATTAAATCTGCCTCAACAAAAGCATGAAATAGGAAGCAATAAATGTGCTGTGGGAGGCTAAGGGAAGTTTTATAGAGGAAGTTAAGAACTGGGCTTCACCGGGAAGAATGCAAACATTTTCAGCAGGGAGAAAAACGGAAGACACATTTTAGGTAGGGAGATATTGCGTGGATTAAACGCAGAAATATGAAAAGCCCGGGGTTTGTTCAGTAATGAGTATGTTGACCAGAGTGGCTGAAAGGAAGGACATTGGCTGTGGGAATAAAAGATGAGATCAGAGAAAACGATCAAGGCCAGATCACACACAGGGCCTTGGGTGTGCCGTAAGGTATGGAATTTATCTTATACAAAATAAAGAAGCATCAGGCTTTTTACGAAACATATAATTAAACAAAAAAGATCTTAAAAGGAAGAAGTTCATTACAGAAAGCATGGCTGTGTAGGGCATAGGCAGGTGCCTAAGGTCATGGATGGAGAGTTAGGAGTTAGGAGGAGACGGCCTAGCAAACAATACAACTCTATAAGATATAACACAAAGGAATTCCCACCATTCTTGCTCCATATTACTTGAAGACGGTACTGTGTAGTATAATTCTAGACTACAATTCCTGAAGTTATAGTGAAACTCCTAGTTTAAAACGCACTACTTTGGCCATATTAGAACAGTATCAATAATAACAGGCATTTCAGTGGGAAAGGAAGAAGTCAAATAGCCTTTCTGAGGGTGATGCAATCCTACAAAGGGAAAACCCTCAGATCACACATGTGCACACTGCCAGACAAACAAAAGCAGCAAAGTTGCAGGTGACAGGCCCCACGCAATGAGATAAAGTTGCATCTGCATACAAAGTACTGAACTGAGGGAATTAGGAAAATGACGCCATTTACAAAAGGGCTAAAGATAATCAAAACTCAGGGATAGACATAATAAAAATGTAGTTTATAACACACTGGAAGCTGAAAAATATTCCCAAAAGGAACTAAATGCATGGGACAATGTTCCATGTCAGTGGATTGGAAGACTTCGTGTCACTCAGATGACAGTACTACACAAGTGTACCCACAGACTTGACAGCATGTCCACCAGAATCCCAATGGCAACTTTGGCAGAAATAGAAAAACCCACCCTAAAATTAATATGGAATCTCAAGGGTCCTCATCATTAAAACAATGTTTAAAAAGTAAATGAGGCGCTGCAAAGATGGCTTGGGGCTTAAGAGTGCTTTCAGCTCTTGCAAAAGAACCAAACTCCATTCCTCACACCACGTCAGGCGGCTCACAACTGGGATCCAGCTCCCTCATCTGGCGTCAGTGGGCACTGCATGCACACGTGCATATGCTCACACATGATTAAAAAAATAAAAATAAGTAGTTTCCACGGGGTAGATAAAATTGGAAGAATCCCATTTTACAACTTCAAGATTTACTATAAAGCTAGAGTAATAAAAACAGTAAGATGCTAGTAAAAGAGTAGATCATACATGAGACAGACAGCCCACACAATGATGGTCACTTAATTTTCATAAAGGATGTCAGCACCATTTAATGGTAAAAATGACCCAGTTCTCGGGAAACTGGATGTCTACAAACAGATGAGTTTTTAACTCAATACATGTCAAAAACTTAATCACTAAAACCTACAAAACCACCAGCAGAAAAAACGGGGTGGGGTACCATCATTGCCCCCACATTGCTTCTGCAATTACTGTATGGATGTAACACCAAAATGTGAACTACTGGGGAAAAGATTATAACCAAATTTCAAAATTAAAACCCCCGGTATCAAAAATATCATCAACATAGTGAAAAGGAACCCATTGGATGGGAGAAAATATTTTAAAATCACATACCTGACACAGTATTAATACTCACAATATTTTTAAATAATAGCAGAGGGGTTTAATAAAGACAATAACAAATAACAACAAAAAGGGTCATGAGTGCAAAGGCCTTGAATAGACACTTCCCCCAAACACACGCAAAAGGGTCATGAGTGCAAAGGCCTTGAATAGACACTTCCCCCAAACACACGCAAAAGGGTCATGAGTGCAAAGGCCTTGAATAGACACTTCCCCCAAACACACGCAAAAGGGTCATGAGTGCAAAGGCCTTGAATAGACACTTCCCCCAAACACACGCAAAAGGGTCATGAGTGCAAAGGCCGTGAATAGACACTTCCCCCAAACACACGCAAAAGGGTCATGAGTGCAAAGGCCTTGAATACACACTTCCCCCAAACACACGCAAAAGGGTCATGAGTGCAAAGGCCTTGAATAGACACTTCCCCCAAACACACGCAAATGGCCAACAAGCACAGAAAAAGATGTTCAACATTGATAGTTGTTAGGGAAATGAAAACCAGAAACACAAATGCATTTCATGGAAAACACGTTTCATGGCAATTATCAGGAAATTAGAAAAAAGTGTTGCCAGCCAGAAAATCTGGAACCCCTGAACATTGCAGACAGTCGTGTATCATGGTTCTGTCACTGTGGAAAACATCCTGAAGTTGTCAGAAAGCTAATCACAGAACTACTGACGATTTTAACCATATACTCAACTCCACAGAACTGAAAGCAGATGGGGTAGGCTAATGGTTTTATCAGCACTGTTCACAATAGCTAAAGGGTGGAGATGACCCAACTGTCTATCAGCACATGAGCGGGTAAACTAAATACAGTGTGACCTACTGCAGCAAAATAGCATACATCTGGGATGCTGAGACCAAACAGACACAGGAAGAACAAACAAACGCAGTGCAATTCCACTTCCAAGAGACACAAAATGCAATGGAGGTTGCCAGGGCCTGGGCGTGGAAGCAACAATTGCTTAATGGCTGAAATTTCTGTGTGGGAAGATACGAAGCCTCGACAATGTGATCATGCTCACTGAAGTCTGAACTGAACACTAAAAGATGGTTCGTGTGCTAGCATTGTTTGCTGTGCATACTGAATCATGACTTAAAAAAATGAAATCCAAGAAAGCCAACCTGAACGGTGGGATTTCGACTTAGCTGAGACACCACCAGGTAAAGGCGTCTACGGAAAGAGACCTTAGAAAGAAATACAAAGGTTGAACCAGCTCAGGCCTGACCCTCATCAGCACAGGCAGTCGAGATGCTCGGGGACATGGACTCACATTGCAAGTGGACGAACCGTCCAGTGTCGGATAGGAACCATCGGGCCAGTCCGCAGGGTCCAAGGCAGCTGACTGCCGGTGCTGGGCCTCGTATTCCTTCAGCTGCAGCAAGAACAAAACAAAAGAAAGAACACATGAAATAATGACCGGGTACTGCCTGCCGCACAGCAGAAATCACATAGAACTTCTCCATGTTAATGATGACTAGGTGACCCAGGGCCAGCCAAAGCTACACCTTCTAGAAGAGGAGGCTATGAAAGCCTGCCTGCAGGTTTTAAATCAGACCAATAGCCACAGAAGGCTCGGTATGCTGTTCCAAAAGGAACCTTGATTTCCACACAACCATCCCCACAAGACCAAGACTCATCTTTCCTGGGTGCAATCAGGTTTGAAATCAGGAACTTTCTACAGTCTAGTTCTGCATGTATAGATCCAAAAGCATGTTCGGCCGCCCAGAAGACAGTAGAGGAGGCCAGAGGAGGGGGAAACGCCTGGAACAAACTGTTAGAAATGCCAGGTCAGAGCTGGGTAGTAGTTCAAACAGTAGAGCATTTGCCTAGCATGCACGAGTCCCAGGTTCAATCCCGAGCATCACACAAGCTGAGTATGGAAGTGTGTGCCTGTCATCCCAGCATAGCCAGGAAGAGGTACCCAGAATGCTTTTCTCATTCAAGGCTGGGACATTCGATTCGTCAATTTTACCGCCTAGGATATATGCGTTGGTTTACTAGGGACCCTGAACATGGGGAGGGAATAACTAAGACAAAACCTTCAGAGCTTCCCAGCACTTAGGAGGCAGAGGCAGGCGGATCTCTGTGAGTTCGAGGCCAGCCTGGTCTACAGAGTGAGTTCCAGGATAGCCTCCAAAACCCTGTCTCAAAAAACCAAAAAGAAGAAGAAGAAAAAAAAAAAAAAAAAAACAACCTTCAGAGCTGCTGAAAGTGTAGACTTTGAGACTCAGGGTTTTGGTTTTAACACACACACACACACACACACACACACACACACACACACACACACACACACAAACCAAACACAGAAAGGAAATGAAATATTCTAGAAAAGGAAGCAAATATAGCAAGACCAAATAGATGCTCTTTCAGAATGCTGTGTGCGAGGCTGTCCAGGGAGGTTTGCAAACTGCTCAAAGGGGCCGCAATCGACTACTTCAGACACCTAAGCTGTCACTGCATTGAAACACCATTGAGATGTGGGGCTTCAGATCCAATTTAAGAGTCGGCCATACCATGTTCCATGAAGCAAGCAAGTTAAATACGGAAATAACCTGACATCAGGCGTTTATAGCAGTCCTCGACCACCAGCGCTGTGGGATGTGGCAAAGTTGTCATCCAAAACACAACTTTCCTGGTGTCACTGCAAACTAGGAATGTCTCTCTTACATATATTAAGAGGGGGGAGGTAGGCAGCACTGCCTAGAGAGTAAAGGCCTGGATGGAGACACCAAAAGCCACTGGTCCCCTGGGATGACCAAATGCCACTGGTCCCCTGGGATGAGTTACTGAACCCCTCTGTTTCATCCCCTCCTCTCGGACAACGAGGAAGACGCTGAATCCATCTCAGAGGCTACTACAATCAAACGGATGCAGCAAGGCCCTCAGCACACACCTATGCATACTGTGACTTCCTTCCACCCCTGTGGCTTCAGGTAAGCACAGAGCTCACATTAAAAGCATACGGCCCAAGGATTCTGCTATCACTGGCACTAGTCATTTTAATCTTTGACACATTATCAGGGGCATACACATTTACAGTATACTAATATGCGGGGCTGATCCTCCCATCCGGATACGTGGTTTCTGAAATGTGTACAGTCTCCCAGCATGCTGGGACAAAATGTCAAGTGAAAGGGATTATTGTGAGACTGTCAGTTTTGCCCAGGTCTCTGCTCCATTCTTATACTCAGTCTTAGCCTTGACTGTCAGGAGTCACCAAATAACCTTCAGCTTTAACTAAAACACAAAGCAATTTCCTAGCCGGACAACAGTAAGCTGACAAGTCTTTTGATCTCCTGGGGACTCTCTCGACTTTTGACTCACACAGATGTAGCTTAGGAGCACACCCCTGTTGTCAGATAGGTAAGTATGGGAGTTAGTAACCAAGCTATGGTATGGGTATCGGTTTGAGTTTTAAGATTTATATTTGTAAGAAAGTAAGACTGCTACATCAAATGCCGAGGTCCCCAAGTTTCCTTTCCAATGTCAGTCTCAGTACTTTCCCTACATGGCTTGCTCCTCCCTTCCTTCCTCCCTCCCTTCCTTCCTCCCTCTCTCCCTCCCTTCCTGCCTCCTTCCCTCCTTTAATGGTCAATGTTAACCGTCAATTCACAGGATGGAGAATCATCTGGGATGTGGATCCCTGGGCATGTCTGTGGATGATTATCTTAAATACATTAACGATGTGGGAAGGTGACCGGGAGGGGTGGCTCAATAGTTAAGAGCTCAGAGGGCCTGAGTTTGATTCCTAGCATGCCCATCAGGTGACTCAGAACCACATGTAACTCCAGCTCCAGGAGATGCAACTCCATCCTCTGGTTATCCTGTATACACATGGCATATACTCACATAGATACATATGCATAAATAATAATGATGGAAATAAAAATCTTCTAAAAAAAATAATGTGGGAAGACCCATCTTAACTGTGGGAGGACCTCCTGGGCAGGTGATCCCAGGTGCTATAATATACAGGTTTGGGTCCCAGAAAAAATAAAACGGAGAAAGTGAGTTAACCAGCACAAATGTTCAGGCTGACTCACTCCTGACTATGGATGCAATGTGACGGCTGTGGAATATCCCCTCTGTACACTGTGAGGGTGTGTGTTGCTCTCATTGCTAATAAAGAGCCGATTGGCTGATAGCTAGGCAGGATTTGGGGGGCAGAGAGAATGCTGGGAAGAAGGAGGGTGGAGTCTGAGGAGTTGCAAGAAACACAGAGAGAAGCAAGATGAATGTGCAGTATTGAAAGAAAGTACTGCTATAAGGCAGAGGGCAGACAAGAAATATGGGTTCATTTAAAATGTAAGACTTAGCTGGTAACCAGCCTGAGCTACCAACTGAGAATTTACAGTTAATATTATGTCTCCCTGCCTCTTAATTAATATTAAGTCTCTATTTGGGAGAGGCTGCCAAGACACAGAGAAACCGCGCCTACATGTAACCCATTCTCCTCAAGCTTCTACCACCATGACCACATCTCGCCCGGCTGGCGTGATGGAACTATGAGCCAAGTTAAACCATTCCCTAAGCTAGTTTTGCCAAGTAATTTGTCAAAGATGCTTTTTCATACAGGGGGGAAAACTTGTATCAAGAAATAGAATGCAGTAAGTATCTTATTTGATCAATTTGATAAAGTGGATACCTGATGACCACAAAATATCATCAAAATATTTGGGGGGGTGGGGTTTTGAGGATGTAGTTGGTGGTAGAAACAGTCCGAAACACACATGAGGCTTTGGTGCCTGTTAATAGATATAGAGGTGTGCGCGCACGCAGACACACTGTAAAACAGTCCAAAACATACGTGAGGCTTTGATGCCTGTTAATACATATAGAGGGGCGCATACACGCTCGCTCACACACACACACACACACACACACACACACACACACAGTAGCTATTAGATTCCTATAACCTCTGATGGCCCCAAGCATTTTCCAGCTTTTCCAGCTAGTGCTCACAGGTGTAAACTACACGCCCACAGCCTTACCCTAGCGAGCGCTTCTTCAATGGTGATCATTTTTTCTTTGACCATCATCATTAGCTGAATCCGCTCCTCGTCGCTCATGGTTATCTCACTTGCCACGTAGCCCACGTCCTCTCCTGGGGATGCAAGGCAGATAAATGCGGATGAGACATGAAGAAGCAGGCCTCTAGCCTGGAGGCCCTCATCTTGGGTGAGGGAGGGGCTTTTCTCAGGTGCACTGTCCATTTCGCTATTTGTGCTAAGCATCACAGAGCTGACTGGATGTTTCACAAAGTCATGCAAACTGGTGAACAGCTGACTCCTCTCTCTCTATCTCTCTCTGACTAAGTTTTTATTAATGTCTGTGTGTCTGTTTCTGTACAAGTGAGTGTCACATGTGGGTGCTCACAGAGTCCAGAAAAGGACATCAGATCCCTGGAGCTGGGGTTACATGCAGGGTGAGCTGCCTGGGAACCAAACTCCTGTCCTCTGTAAGATCAGCAAGTGTTCTTAACCCCTGAGTCCTCTCTCCAGCCATGCCTCCTTTCTTCATGCCTTTCTAAGTGAGACTTTGTCAGAATGCAACGTTTATTTGGAAGCGCAGATGATTCTGGGTCTCTACCAAAAGGAAAAGCTGGGAGCATTGAAAAACTACTCCCTCAAAGAGCGATAGCCAAGAAAAGTAATCACATGCGAGCTGTGAGGAAAAAATCAGGTGTATAGCTGAGGAAGCTAAAAATCTTGTTTCTGGCTGGGAGTAACTGGAGAGACGTCTCCCTGGAAGGGGTCATGCTATTGTGTAAAAAGCAAACGGGCAGTCTCCAGTGGTGGACAGTAAAACACGTTCATTTATTGATAACCCCGTTCAGTCTGGCAGTAACATGGAAGCTGATGTGGCCTGGTTTCCTCTGTGAATACTGGGGGAAACGTAAATTACATAACCCGGCCTCCAGGGAAGGACATATTTATTTGCTATCTAAACAAAAACAAAGGCGAGGCCTGGAGAAAGGGCAGAGCTCCGTTCACAGAGCAGCGGGGTAAATTCTCATGATGTCAGACCCACAGAGGGTTTCCAGGGGCAACAACCCCAGAACTGTCCCTTGTCACAGAGCAAGAAGCTCAGAAGAATGTGAAGGCTCCAAGGGAGGGTATGTACCCGAGGGTCCAAAACTAACAAACGCAAAGATTCCCTTGACCTTCTGGGGTCAGCGCTTGGCAGGCCTGAGAGAAAGGCAGGGAGGCTGGTGTGAGGGGAGCCTACAGACGAGGTCTCTGCTGTCAGGGACCACCAGCCCCTCCATCTTGATCTCAAGAACTTCATAGGGTCAAAATCCTGAAGTCATGGAAGGAATGTCGGAAAAGCTGACTATTTGCAGGCACATGCAATGAGTTATTCCTAACTGTCAAGTCCATTTACGGGGGGGGGGCAGGACCTCTGATTATTCTAAAGCCACAAGGACCCCATGGTCCGTGACTCCATCACAGTACCTTTTGAAGTCTGTCTCATTATCCCTTTTTGGTTCTTTCGAAAATTCTGCCAGAAGTACTTGTTTTTCTTCTTCCAGTCTCCTTTTCCTTTAAGAAAGAAACAAAGGAAGGGAAGAGAGAAAGAGAGAACGAGAAAAGCAGTAAATTCACTGATAACAAAAGTAGTCTCTTTCTTCCGATGTCAAAGCTTGAACGAACACTCTGATTTCACAAAAAGACGGTTCTTCAGTTTGTGAAAGACTGTGAAACAGCTATAAAGTTGTCTAAAAGAAATGCAAATTTGCTACTGGGGGGAGGAAGGGGGGCCTAACAGGGTTAGGAAAGGAAATGCAGGCCCATCAAAAGGGCGGGCCGCGCACGCATTCTTGTCCTCACTTTGATGTTTGCCTGGCCTGTTGGCCTCCTTCTGCCTTGTACTGAGGTGCATCCTCTCCCTTTGGCTGCAGCCACAATTATTTCCACCCCGCCACAAATAGAAGGCTTGCAGAGGTTCACTTTGGTTTGTTTCTTCTGTTTATCCACCATTGCCTTATTTCAATTTTAATGAGGAAAACCCAAAGGCTGTTATGCTCAGCCCGGTTCCTATGGTGTTTGGTGACATGGGTCCATAGCACAGGTAAGGCACACTCCCCATCTCTATAATTTTTAGGCTTCTTGGGGACCAACCTACAGATTAACAAGGTCACAAAGACAAGAAGAAAAAAAAAAAAAACCAGAGTTCCATCCTGCTGCGATGTCTCCTAACTCAGCCTCTGTCTAACCTCCCACCGAGCTCAGACTAGGATTGGGTGATTCTCCAGTGAAAACAAATGTGTCATTAATAGACACTTGAAAAAAAAAAAACCTTAGGGTTCTGGTATCATTGACAATACAAAATATCTTTTAAAATGCAAACAGAGAGGCTGGGACATAGCTCAGTCAGCGAAGCTTGAGAAGCCAAGTTCAACCTCCCAGAACCCACCACAGTGAAGCTAGGCATGGCGGCACATACTTAGAGCACAGAACAAGGAGAAACAGGAAGGTCCTTTGTGTCTTACAGGCCAGCCCCCCTAGTGACTTGGTGTGTTTCAGGCCAATGAGAGACTCTTGTCTCAAACAACAAAGGTGTTGTGCGCATGCACACGCGTGGGCGCGCGCACATAAGAAAAAAATTGTAAAAGGCAAACATAAGGGAGGACAATGGGTGAATGGGAAAGGCCGTTCTTTATTCTTTAAAAAGAAAAGCCAGTGGCAGCCATGGCTGTCACTGTGCTGATGTAGCACGCCCGGAGCAGCAGCTCTGTCTCCACTTGGTGGCTGTCTGGTTGCCCTGTGGCCACTGGAAACAAGGCCCAGAAAAGTGGTGGCTTCCACAGTCTAGACTGGCGGTACCAAGGAATGATGCATGGTATAACCGCGCGTGGAACTCCATCTCTGGTGCCCCCAAGCTAGCAAGGGTGTCATTTGTCAAAACAGGATGTCCTCGTTTAAATGCTGACGGCCCTAGAGGCCTGGGAATGAAACCCAAGCCCTTCTGCCTTCAGCTGCCTAGGTTCTCAGATCCTCAAGGTTAGCATCGTGGGGTCTGCGGATCCTGTGAGTGAACCCGGGAAGCAGACATCAGAAAAGAAGGGTGAAAACAGGACTGAGTGTCAGTCATTTGGCTTCTTAAGGAGGAGTGTGAAGCTGTAACGCATTTCTCTGTGCCTATAAGCTGTATTTCCTTCTTTCTCACGTTCCGTGCATGTAACGGAGATAATAAAAATAGCTCAATCTGGTCATCACTTACAATACCCAAGCATTTCGCTATTGAACAGCTTAGCTCGTTTAAGTCTTGCTCATGCTCCTCATCCTCCTCCTGCTAGCCCTCCCCCTCTTCCTTTATAATAGTAACAAGGTCTTGGCTGGCCTTGAACTCACTATCTTCCTGCCTCAGGCTTCCATGTGCTGAGCTTACATTTACATCCTAACATGCCCAGTGCTACTCCTGGGGTCTGCTCTGGGTCCAGGAGGTCAGAAAAACAAGGGCAGGGAAAGGGAGGTGATTTGCCAGGGTTACAAGGGCTGGGATGGCATTTGCGATTCAAACCCTGGCAGGCAAACTGGAGAGCCTACCACCCACCCTTTGTCCTTTGCTGTATCAAGGACAGGTCTTATAATCAAGGACATATATAATGCCTCGAATGCATATTATTCACCCAAACATTCCAAACTGAAGAGTCTGACTGAGGGCATCATGAGAGATGCAAACTTAAGGAATTTTCTGATGGTGACATGTGCTTGTGACAGAAGAAATTATCAGCAATAACTCTCCAGCCAAGAGGCTTGGTCAATGAGCTTATGGCATATTCAGTATGATGTGAAGTAAGCCTCTTACTGCTAAGAATGTTTATCAAGTGGAAAATACTCATAAACTGTCCCATTCTGAAGAACCATAAGACAGGATGTCAACTATGGTGCTATCTGGATTTTCAAAAGAACAATTCCTAATGGCAAAAAAAGAAGAAAATTGTACATCAAATACCAGGGATGGAGAGGCGGCTTGGGCAGTGGAGTGCTTGTCTGGTCTACAGGTCATGGAGCTGAGCTTGGTCCCCAGCACCCATCCATAATAAAAAGCAGGGCACAGTGGTATGTGTCTACAACGCTAATGCCAGGGAGGCAGACAGGCAGGTTTCCACAGAGTTTGCTGGCCCTCTGGTCTGGCAGAATTGGTGGAGTTCTGGGCTCAGTCAGAGTCCTCTCAAAAAGTAATGTGGAAAGTGACTGAGGGATCCTAACTAATGTAGACCACAGTCTACATGCATATGTGGGGAGATACAAACACACAGAGACACACAGACACACAGTGTTTCTGAATTGACAGATTTGGGGGTGAGGTCTACAGCTTTACATATCTATATATCTTCTATAAACCATGAAAATAATCCAATTAAATATTTAAATCAAGGACAGTTGTACTAACCTACACAGCCGTCTTCCGAGTTTGATTTATGAAGAGGGTACCTAGAAAAGAAAACAAAATGTATACATATTACCAGACAGTCTTGCTTTTATGGGATTTTTCACTAACGATCTTCCTAACCTATTGGACCCTGGACCAACAGTGCTTACCAGAGCCTGGGGAATTTTTACAGTGGGTCTTTTCCTACCTATCTGCTGAGTTCCTGGAAAATGGGTACCATTTGTCAACATTGTCTAACGACCCAGTCTAGGATAGGACCTATATTTTAAAAAGAATATGGGCTTCACTGAAGGTTGCTGAAGGATCATGTTTGTGTCTGTGAATTAATCACTAGTTACGTTCCTGCCACCGCAAAGTCTGTAAAGTAAGCAGAAAAGAAAAAGTATATCATAATGAGCATATCAACTCCACAGCCCAAAGGCTGCTTGAGCCAGCAAGTGAGTTGCAAGGATAACTGAAGAAAAGATCAGGAGGTGACAGATGCCGTCAAAAGGAGACCGGATGCCCAAGCGGAGGGGTAGCCAGTGTGGAGCTCCTGTAGTTAGTGATATCAACTGGCAAGGGTCATAGTTGGTCTTTGCGGATCTTAATAAGGTTCGAAATAAAGCCAGAAATCTGCGTTTTCATTTGTGTAAGAGCTTCACATTTTTAAATCATGGCAAATTTTTGCTAAAATGGATGCAAGTTAATCACAGTTGATGTGTCTGTTTCATAACCCGCCTGTCGAGAGCATGGCAGCTGATCTTGGTAAGTAACATGGAATGTGAGCCAGACATCAGCATTTGCTGGGGACAAATTCCAGAGGACAAAGTCGGTGTCTTTGGCACAGGCATGCCAAAGGGAAAAAGAAAAAGAGCCTGTATCGGAACAGGAGTACATAGACAATTCACACCCAAATATTCTCTCAAAGTTCAGTGCCAGAAAGGAAGGTAAAAAGGTGCTGGTTAGCCGGACGGTGGTGGCGCATGCCTTTAATCCCAGCACTCGGGAGGCAGAGGCAGGCGGATCTCTGTGAGTTCGAGGCCAGGCTGGACCAACCACCTCCAAAACAATACAGAGAAACCCTGTCTCATAAAACAAAACAAAAACAACAACAACAACAAAAAAAAAGGTGCTGGTTGAAGACTGTAGTTGCTACTACCTGGATGCTCAGAAAGCCAGGGGTGAGGCTGGTGTGGGGAGAGAACACTGAAAACAGTTGGAGACAAGTGGAAGGACCTCCAAGCACCTAGCAGAGACCTTGCAGGTAAAGGGACCCCAAGAGTTTAAGATGCAGAAGCGAGTGCAGGGCCCCGGATGATGATTGAGCCACTGCTTAGATGTGCAGACACTGATGCTGACTGGCGGCAGATGGGTACCCAGACCCTCCAAGCAACGCAATGTTCCTTATCTGAGAGGAGAGAGGAGAGAACGCCTTCTGACTAACACGAAGCCCCGAGAGATCTCCACGATAAAGTAGGAAAGGTACTAAAAACAGACAGGAGAAACCATTGCAGAGGTCAAGAGCTAGGTGAAATACTACTCGTTTCTGTTTTTACCACACAGCACACATGTGCGTGTACACAAATACATCCACACGCACCCACAGTAAGGAAACACACCTGATCACCAAACCACACCCCTCCAAGGAAAATCTGGAATCTACTATTTTCCTTCCTCTTACCCACTGCAAAAATAGAAGAGTTTTAACTCACATCTACTTAAGAGGTTTTCAAGTGGTGGTCATTTGAAGTTATATATACATTCAACCGATACATACAGATACAGATACAGATATAGATATATATCTGGCAATATTACATGTATGGGATGAGGGCACAGTGTAGAGAGAAGCCTTTTCCTTGTCAGCCACTTTAGTTTTTCCCCACCAGTCGCCTGGGCTCTGCCGCGTTGTAGTCCCCAAATAACACACAAGACGCTCTATTAATTATGAAGCTGTTGGCCTTGCTTGTTTCTTACTGGCTAGCTCTGACTTAAGTATTTAACCCATTTAAGTATTTCTCTTACTGGAGAAAGTTCTGAACATCTTACTTCTCTAGCGGGCTACATCGTGACTCCCTGTGTTTCTCCTACCCAGAGTCCTCCTGGACTCCTAGTCCCACCTATCTTGCTTCCCTATTGGCCAACAGTGCTTTATTGACATATACACAGGACTTCCCCATCATCTCCTCTTTTCTGTCTAAACAAAAGAAAGGTCTTAACTTTAAATGAGTCTATTGTTAGAGAGGAAGTGGATACAGGATGCACACAGGGACAGAGACATCGCTCAGTTGGTAGAGTGCCTGTCTAGGGTATGAAGGCCCGGGTTTGATCCCATCGCTGAATGACGCTAAAGGTAGCTGGTGCTCTTCTGTAGTGTCCGCACTTAGGAGGGGAAGGCAGGAGGGTCTCTGCAACGTAGAGAGTTCAAGGCCAGTGTGGAATACTTAAGATCCTGTCTCCAACAAGCAACAAATAAGGAGGCACACAAAGATAGGGGTGGGGTATGGTTGGCTTTGTTTGGGATGCAGGGGTCCAGGGAGATCACTAAAGCGGTTCCGGACACATCTGTGGAAGTCGAAGTCGCCATAGATAATTAACTAAGGGAGAGTTCACCCACCTGGATACGAATGGCGCTGTCCAATAGGCAGAAGCCTAGACAGGCTACAAAGGGAAGGAGAACGTCTTGGTGGACAGGGCATTTTTTCTTCACCTACCTAAGATACTGAAGTGAATACCGCTCACTTTATGCCACGGGATACCCTACCTTGCCTTGGGCCCAAAGTAAACAAAACCACAAGCCTAGACAAATCGGTTCTAAGTTGCTTTCTCTCTGGTCTTTGTCACAATGATGAAAAGATGGCTGTCAAAGGAAGGGGTGGGGGTGGGGGCAAGGTACTACATGTTCATGCCCACAGGTGAGTTATGAGACCAACAAAAACGGTCAAGAATGTGGCAAGGGCTAGTTGGCTGGAGAGGAAGGCAGGGCCTCTTTCAAAGAGGGACCACGCCGGAGTTGTCTTTGAATAAGAAAAATCTTCCCGTGCTGCATTTTTAACTCTAAGCCATAGTAACGTATGCCCTCACAGCTGCTTCAACTGCCTTCTACCCACCAGTTCTAAGTGCCTGCTAAAACTGGAGGGGACAGCACGCCTATTTTCACACTTAACCAAAAGGGCTAGGAAAGTACTGACCCGTTGCTAAGAATCAAGTGTATGCGAGGTCCCAGGTAAAAACCAGCAGCCAACGTTCTCAGAGCTTTGGAGCAATTCTTCCTTCCATTAAAGAAACATTTTCTCAAGAAAGAGGTCTGCAGGAGTATTTAAGTCCTCTGACGGCTGAGAGTAATAAATCTTAATGGGTTAAATGACTTTTACCTGTCACTTGATTTGTATTGCAGTTTTACAGGCAGCTATGGTCCCCACAAGAGGAGGCGGTAGTCTATTGCTCCATGGCCACGGGGCAGCCGCCAGCGATTACACCAGGTGGCCTCCTATGGCCCTGTTGCCTTTTGAATGTATGCCTTGCCCTCTCTGGGTAGAATGAAGACAAATCATTTCAATCCTATCTTTGTGAAACCTAAAAGTTACTTTCCATCCCAAAGCCATCTTTTCCTACTTCCAGCCAAATGGAAATGTTTGACGCTATAAAAATGCTTCCAAATTAACCATTCCAGAGAAAAGCACGTTCTCACTGCTACCTAGACATTACAACCCTACGTAATCATAGGTTCATCCCCAAAACACAGACGTATGGTCTTTTTTGTTATTTTCATTCACTCTTTGAAATTATCACACACATCCAGTAATTTCGTCCTCATGTTTGGCAGCACCCACATTTCTTGCATTTCCCCAAACCACCAGAAGATGGCACTGTAGATTCTTCCTTCGATTGTGATCTAGAGCATGGAATTTTGTTTTTAAATTTTCATAAGTTTACAGCACTCAGACTGGTGAAAGTCAGCGTCTCCTGAGTGTGAGGCTCCTCAGATCATCACCTCTTGAAAGAGAAAAGTGACACTTTATGAATTTGGACAGAATGGATCTGCATGCAGAGGCTGGCAGAGGAAGAATGCGAAATGACACATTTTTTTTTCCCCTCGCCTTGAGACCACTTCTAGCATCCATATTGCAGGGCCTGAAATAACCATGTAACCAAGTCCAACTCTGAATGACAGCAGGCAGAAGCGTCATTTACTGCCCTGTAGCAGAAAAATAAATGAACTCTCAGAAATAGGCACCAAAGAGGCTGCACCTTTAATAACAACTTCATTCCGACCCCACACAGTGCACCCGAGAGTGGCAGTTCGTGAGACCCTGGGCAACATCAGCTTCATTGATAAACGAGTAAAAGGGATGGGGACCAGGAAGCGATACTTAGCATTCTGCAGCACTCTGTAAGTTTTACACCTAAAGTCTCAAGAGGTCTAGTGATGGGATTTCTTATTCAGAGCTCAAGAAGGCCCGGGTTCAAATCCCAGACAAGTCTGTCTTATTTCTCCAGAACAGCTGGAGAATGAGCGTCTTTTCTTCAGTAACTATGGTTGAGACCCCCCCCATTGTTAACATGTAAACGGTTCTCTTTTAAGATCCCTAAACTACTTAAGCAAGTTTCTAAAGACAAAATCGTCTAAGAAAATTCTGAAAATAAGTAATTATTGATTGGACTAAAAATAAATAAATACATTTTATCAACAAACAAATTTAAGGAAGCGAATCCTCAGAACTTGGCCAATGTCTTTCCTTTGTTCATTCATTTTCAACCATCCATCCTTGCTTTCACCCAGTCGGTATTTATTCGGATCCAGTGAGTGAGGCATTCTCTGGGGCACGAGGAACATTTGCTAAAGGAGACAGGTGAGGCTTTGCGCATTGGAGCTGGTGGGTGGAGAGGCAGCAAGAGCTGTGGCTGAGTCACCCAGGGAGGAATGTGGATGGGAGCGCTGAGACCTCCCCGAAGACGTGGCCTTTGATCAGAGCCAAGCTGCTGTGGCCTTTACGCTCGTCCCTGTGATGGCGGAAAACAGGGTGAAACCTAGAGAAGAAGCCCACCTTGGACCAGT